GACAGGGACAATGGCTACTAATCCCGAGTGAAGGAAAGAAAAAGCCACTAGCACCCCGTTCAGAATAAGGGAATGCTCGACATGATACATTATAAAATATTACAAACGTGAATTAATTTACAAATGAAATGAAATCATGCTATTTGAACAAACTTTTCAATAAGGGAAGTCTTTTATCCTTATAAAGAATAGGTTAAGTTAAAAATCAAATTGAAACCCCAGGAACCCACAACATAATTTTAGAAGTCAAATAAGCCTCTCTATTTTCCAGAATAATATCTAACAAAATACACAATGCAAAGATTAAGCTTTTCCAGTTAATTTTTTTTTAATTCCAAAATATGTCATATTTAACTGAGAATTCATTTCCAAATAGGAGTCTCTGGAAAAGCTGTTAATTTTCAAACAACCATGCTCCTCCATTTGGTAGCTGGAATCATTCTCGCTAAAATAAGGTCCTTATTTCAAAGCAAATTCATATAGCTAAAAGCTCAAATCCTGAGTTTTTAGCTATATTATTTATTTTAGCTATAATATTTCTCCCTTATTTTCATATGTACATAAACATCACTTGGAGATGCCATCACAAAGACACACATGGAAGACACAATGGCACATGGATGATTACCTGCCTCTGGAAAAGCCAGAACTAGTGTGGGCCTCACTTCCTGACCCGTGCAAACAGGGAGTGTAACCACATCTTCCAAATCACATTTCTTCCTAAAATGTTGCAAACTCAAAGGTTGCCCACCTCCCCCCACCAAACTGACAGAGGTTAACATGGGTTCTGAGTCGGCCTGCCTAGGTTTAAATACCAGCTCTGGCAAAATACTACATCTCTCTATACTCAGTATCCTCATGTCTTCACAGAGTGGAAATATTAACAGTGGTACTGATCCCATAGGGTTGTTATGAAGCATAAATAACATAGGTAAAGCAGCCATTTAAAACAGTGGCTGACACAATGCTATATGGGTTTTCAAAATTTGTCATCATCATCAGTGTTTGTGGCAAAATATCTTGACTATGCCATATGAAGCAAAGAATGTCTATGGGAAGATATATTATGTTAAATTACCCAATATATGATTACATAGCACAGAAATTATTTTTTAACATCTACCTTAACTTCATACAATTCAGAAAACATTTTTGAATGACATTATAATAAAAAAATGGATGCTATAAATTACTTTATAGTTTAAAACCTAAAACTATGAAAGTTAATTCAGACTAGTAAGAAAAGAACACTTGGGAAAATAGCACAATATCGCCACCTAGTGGATATTGCCTTTTAAACAATTTTGTGGATTGTGCTTATGCTATTTTATAGTTAGGGGAAAAATTCCTTTTCAAAAAGAAGCACATTCTCTTCACTAATGGTAAGAAAATTAAAATAGGAAAAAATTAAATGCTAAATTATCAGTTCTCTTAAACACTGTAGCTAAAAATACCTTCTAAGTTGTGTATCTCAAAATTGTTTCTAAAACAAGGTAACAGTTTTGGTTCAGAAATTTCAAGTATGTCGAAAACCGCATACAAGTCACCAGCTATTTCATCATGGCCTCCCAATTAATGCAAAAAATATTAGCTATAACATAAATTTAAAATCATAGAATTGTGAAGCATCTAAAAAGCCATTTACTCTACCTACTTGCTGAGTCTCTTCTGAAGCACCCCTGACAAATAGAAATCTTGCCTTCAGCAAGCAACCAAACTTACTCTTCTCTGGGTTCATTGCCCTGTAGAGACTACACAATTAGAAAATGTATTTTTCATGAGTTGAAATCTGCTGATCCTTGATTTATACTTCAGGGAATATAGAATATTCCAATCCTTCTCCCAAATAATTATTCAATTATGAGAGCATATCATGTTATAGGATCTCTGCTTCTCTCAGTTAAACATCCCATATATTCTTTTAGCCATTTCTCTTGCAACGTAATTATAAACATTTATCTGTTCATACTTCTTTAAACAGTTTCTAGCATTTCTAAAAATGACTATAATCAATACAAAGAAAATATGCCATGAATGGCTTGGCTAATGCAAAGATTGGTTATCACCTCTCTCTCCATATTCCACTTCTCTTATAAAAAACTTTCACAGTAGCAGTCAAAAACAGCCTTGGGAATCAGACCAAGCTATGTTCTTCAGGGACAGCGTGGACTCCTAGAGAGCTACCTTTCTGCTTGATCTTCAGTTTCTCCAGCAATCAAACAGAAATCGACATGTGCCTCACAGGAATATGAGTAGGATCAAACGTGACAGTAATTGTAAATCAGCTAGAAGTATTACAGCCAGAACATTGTAGGCGCTCAATAAACGATAGCAATTATTTTGGATGTGCCATACACACACATATATAGTTAACTGAACTGATGTTAAGGTTCCTAAACAGTGTGAAAAATCAATACTGGATTTAATATTTTCTTTTGTCAGGAAAATACCATGTGTCTTTTGGTCTGATGGTGAAACATTGACTTCAAATGAACACTAAATTTATCAAATGCTCATTTTTTTTAATATAAAGCTCAACATAAAGGTATTATTGGATTACTTAATTGCAGCAAAATTTCTTACCCTAGAAATGATTTTCAAACATTAAATAATTTAGTGTTGGAGTCGTGGGGAAGTTTTAAAAAATGTAACTTCAATATATCCCTTTTTATTAGAATTTTCTAAGCTATATAAGTTTTAGCATATTAAAAATGTTTGTCTTGTCAATACAGAAAACATACCCTAAATAAAAAATAATTAAGCTATCCCTAAAGTAGTAAAATTAAGCCTAACTAAAACACAAAATAGTCCTAATTGATTGAAAATTCTTTTCCCTTAAAGGTCTAATAAACATCAGTTCTACTATTATAATTTAATGGTTGAAAGTTATTTTTCTTTAAATAGTAATAATTTTGAAATATTTACTTACATATATTTATAAGTAAATATAAGTATTAGGCACCATGGTAAAGAAAAAAATTCAAACTAAGTCAGTAAATTTAGGCAGAAAAAGTTAAGGTTGACTCTCATTGTGAAATATGTGATTTATTTCCTAAAATTAACTAATGTTGTAATTTTTTCTAGGATATTCACTTCTTTCTATACTAAAAACTTCATTCAGTATTCATTTACTCAATATTTATTAAATAACTTATTTATGAACTTTTTGGATATATGGTAGGGGTTGATTCTTTTTGAAATAAGGCTAGACATGGGCCAGGCACTGACCAGTTAGGACAAATAGTCTACTCATTTGAAATGAGGACCAAAGGTTAAACCACTTGCCTTATTGACTCCAAAACCACAGTCAAATATAAAAATCTTAACTGCCAAGCTAAATGCTCTTTCTACAAGCCCATAGTCCCTAAATTAGGTTTAACTTTCCATTACAAAAAATGTTTCATATTATTTTCATGATACGTTTTGTTTCACTTTTTAATAAAATGCTAATTGTTTTAAAGATAATAAGTGCTAATTTAATGAACACGAATTTATTTCTTTATATGAACATTTTATTTTAGAAGTGAGTCTACACAGATACAGAGAACATTTTGATGGTTGCCAGATGGGAAGGGGGAGTTGGAAACTGGGTGAAATAGGTGAAGGAATTTAAAATGTACAAATTGTTAGTTACAGAACAGTCACAGGATGTAAATTACAGCATAGGTAATATAGTCAATAACATTGTAACAAGCATATACGTGTTCAGATGGGTACTAGATTTATTAGTGATCACTTCATAAGTTACATAAATGTCTAATTAGGGGGTTGTACATCTGAAACTAATATAATATTCTATGTCAACTGTAATTTAAAAATTAAAAAAATAAATAAAAGTACGTCTAATATAATCATCTATTTGGGGGTATAAATAAAACTGAGGATCTCTTCTCGTGGCAGTTAAACTCAAACTAGAAATGTACTATAGTAAGCTACTTGTTTATAAAAATAGATTGCATTAAACTCTTTGTATTAAGGTACCTTATAATAGACGAAGCACATTTCAGAAATAACTTTAAGAGAGGAGGAAGAGGCCAGAGAGCTAACAAAATTTCTCTTGCTAAATGACATGCTATGTTTAACCTTAGGAACTACAGTTCCAAAGCATTTAAATACACAGTCAGATGCAATAGAAAAGATTTCTGGGTATCCCCTAAGAGAAAACACATGATATGTAAGGAAAGAGCATACTGGAACCTTACTAATGCTATATGCTATATAAACATAATACTCAGCTATGAAATTTCACAGAAGAAAAAAGTTCAAACATTTAATACTGGGGCTACACATATTATGTACTAAATCCGTTTGACATTCTGTAACATAATCCTACTTATATAGTTTAATACCAATAATTGCAAGTCTCCACAGGCTTCTTTTTTAAAAAATCACCTTTTAATCAAGAAATTAAGTTAAGTCTAATTTTTTTAAACTTCATGTCAAAACATCTATTTGTTATCTCTTGAAAAATGTTCAAAACACAAAGATCACTTAGGATATTCCTAAAAGCAATGCTCTATAACACCTTCTAATTCACAGCATTCTTTTCTAAAATGTTAAGTACTATACTTTCTGTACTTTATAGAAAGAAAAAAAAAGAAAGTAAGATTAACCTGTTTTCTCTGAATGTAGATTTTATCCAAAATATCTTTTAACAGGGTAGGAACTTAAAAATTAACTGGGACAGCGATTCCCCCAATATATGGGGTGGAATGGTTTCCTCATTTTTGCCAGACTAGATTAGAGAGGAAAAGTTTTTCAGTCTCAGAAATATTCCTTAACACATTCATATACAGTATCAGACAAGAAAGCTGTTTTTCCTAAATTAAACATTTCTTTTTTAATTTTGACTTCCTGGAATTCAGATTGTCATTATAAATAATAACTTCTTTAGTGTGCTTTCTTGTCTAGTTAAAAAAAAAAAGATTGAGTAAAAACATCTGTCCTGCAATCACTGTTACAACTAAAAAGTTGATCTACTTCCTAAGTACTGAGCAGAGTACAAGATTGCTCTTTATTTATTGCTCCACCACACTTGTCATTTTCACCTGTACACAACTTTATATTTGCAAACACAGAATACTTTCCCATCCCACTCATTATTTAAAACTCAGAGAAAGCATTAGTCAACATTTAAGACAAATAGGTTCACAAAGCTACTTAAAAATGTTTACAAACATAAAATGAGTTAAAAGATGAATTCTATTCAGTTCTAAGTATACATGTGAGTTAACATGTCCAAACACTTTTCTGTAATGGAATGATAATCAAATGAATGTACCAAAATAGCAGACACAGAATCCAAAATCCCACACACAAGATTAAATCAGCTGTTCCCCAATCTACTAAATAAGATTAGGTTAAATGATTTCTAAACCTCTCTCAATTCTAACTTTTCTTGTATAATGGAATCAAATACCAGTTACCTCTAGTTTTATATTTGGCCTTGAAAGTTAGTGTTTTTAACCTCTCAATAACGATTAAAATTTTATCTCAACTATCTCAGCAAAGAAATTATATCCTACACTTTCATGAAATGTATCCTAAAATCTCCTTTGGTAACTTTAGTGGGTTGAAGTGTCCCACAAAAAGACATGTCTGCTTGGAACCTATAAATGTGATCGTATTTGGAAAAAGGGTCTCCGATGGTATAACTGAATTAATACTGTCATCATGAGACAATCGACATTGTCCCTGTAAGATAAAGAAGAGAAGACCGTTGGGAAAGCCATGTCAAGAAAGGGCAGAGAGACTGCAGTGATGCATCTATAACCGAGGCAGCAAGGACTGCAGAGAGCCACCGGAAGTCAGGAGAGAGGCACGGGGGTGGTTCTCCCGGAGCCTCCAGATGGAACCAAGACTGCCGACACCATAATTTGAGATTTATGGCCCCCAGAACTGTGAGATATATTTTTAAGCCACCGAGTTTGTGGTCATTTGTTATGGCAACCACAGAAAACTAGTACAGTAACATATGTCAAAAAGAAAAACCCTTTTTAAAGGTATTATCATCAACACAATTTATCTGTGGCCATCACATAGTTCACATTAGAAATTAGGAAAGGAGCTTCATCATTCCTAGATTTTTAACCAAAACCAGTAACTTAAATCATAGGTAGACAAAGATGAGCCTGGAATTTCTAATACTTACTATCGATGTGAGTCTATTTTGCCTTATGATTAAAATTATATTTACTGAAATGTTAAGCAACTTTTCCATCAAAAATATTACCTGATCATTTGCAAAGTTTTCAAATATTCTGTCTACTATTGTTTTTTGGGAATTAATACATAAGTTCCAGTATTACAATGCATGCCCAATTTTCTTAAACTTATATCTATAAAAAGTTCACAAGCTTGTTGAGTGGCCAGCAGTACAAAAGTGATATCATGAGATAATTGTAAACAATTTTATTTTCCCAGTATTGCTCAGGCTTATGGAGCAAGTCTTAAATGTTTCTAAGTTTTTTACCACTTAACTCCCTTGGGTTTGTTATATATGTTTAAAACACATATAGCCGATGTTTAAAAATAAAACATCTAAAGTGATCTGAGGATCACCACTGTGCCTAAAAGTTCATAATTTTCACCTGTTCAGTTGCTCATGTGGAAATGTGGAAATCTATTTTAGAGTTCAAGATATCTGTAATATTACCACATAAACCTCTGAGTGTCCTGACTATTTGGCCACTGAAAAGTCTTGTTCAGAAAGATATAAAAAGTTATGAAATTAACAACTGCATAGCAACCTAGTTCACAAACAAGTCTAGATATTGGGGGCAGAGGTATGTTAAGCCTATAAATAACATAAGGTAAAATAAAGTAACGAAATTCTAGCAGTTTCTGAGGTACTATAACAGCAAACAAGCATATGAAAAACATTAAGTTCCAGAAAACAGACTTTGACTTCAATGAGTCAGTTATACTCCAACCAGCAAATATATAGACAGGAACTAGCAAATATTTCACAATTTCATATCTTTGAAAAACTCTTCTCCACACATAGAATGTATAATGCCTGTTATCTGCTAATAAGTATTTGTGAACGTAAGTGAATTTCCAAACTAAAAATACAGAGACTATAGTGAGCACAAAAAACTGAATTCTACGTTTCCAAACTAAGCAAAGAAAAGCTTTCACTTTGCTAGGAGACAGTAGGTGAGGAAAGGAAAAAAAGAGAGTGAAAGAGAAAAAATAGAAGAGCTGGGGGAAGTGCAGACAGACCTCATGACTGCTCCGATCGCCAACAACAATCCCCCCATTCACTACCACGAAAGCACAAAACAGAAACAGGAGAAGGATGTACGGCCAAGTCAAGACGAGAAGCATACTCAAGTTCTTAAAGGACATGGAATAAACCAAAAGAAACTGAAGAATTTTCCTGAATTCTGAAAACGGTCCTTTGATTGGGGGAAGCCTCTCTTCCTTCTTCTTTTGCAGCTCAGTTTTCCACGCTTCAGTTAACTTTTGTGCGATGACGTTTCCTGCGCAGAAGACAGCCCAGACAATATTTGTCTGACGAAACATGAAGCCACAAAATCCAAGCAACGCTGACGTTTTATGATTCCCATAAAGACACATCAAATAGGCAAAAAGAGTGAAAAACATGGATCCTGCTTCTGTATAGTAGAGGAAGTTAAAGAAATAGAGTGTAGGAAATACTGCTAGGGTTAATGTTGACAAGATTCTCTGGGCACTTGAGCCAGCCTAGGAGGAAGAGAAATCACAGTTAAACTTATTTTCATGATAAAACAAATACGCTTTTTCTGTGGAGATAATGAAGAGACTTCTTAAACAATACAAAACCACATGAGTCATATTTAAATAAAATTATTCAAGATTATTTCTGGCTAGGCAAAGACACAATAAACATTTAAATATGTTTTTACTGATTTTTAGAAAGAGAGGAAGGGAGAAGGGAGAGAGAGATAGAAACACTGATGAGAGAGAAACTTCAGTAGGTCGCCTCTCATACGTGCACTGACTGGGAATCGAACTTGCAGTCTTGCAGTGCAGGGGACAATGCTCCAACCAACTGACCAACTAGGCCACGTGGTCAGGGCCTTCATTTACTCTAAATCACCAAATCAAATGATGCCATTGCCTTGATTAAAATTAAGGGCTGTCCATCACCTATTCAAGTTCAAAATCCTTTCCATGACTTTTAAGGACACTCATGACTTCACCCCACCTACTTCTCCAGCCTCAGAGGTCTATCCTATCTAATAAAAGAGAAACATGCAAATTGACCATAACCTCGACACCCTTCCCATTGGCTAATCAGCAGGATATATGCAAATTAACTGCCAACCAAGATGGCGGCTGGCAGCCAGGCAGCTGAAGTGAATAGGAGGCTTACTTGCTCCAGTGATGGAGGAAGCCAAGGTTCCCCGCCTGCCGCTGCCGGCCTCTGAGCTTGCACTCTAAGCAACTATGTTGCAATTATAGAAGCTAAACAAACCCCAGAAACCTGCTTTCAGCCGTCAGAGCTGGAGAGAGCAGAACCGCGACAGTGTTATAATTATAGAACCCAAACAAACCAGATACCTGCATTCGGCAGCCGAGGTCTCAGAGCTGGAGCCGAGCCTGAGAACTAAAGCCAGCTCTCAGCTCCAGTGACAGCCATAGAAGGTAAATAAATCCCAGACAAAAACCTCTGTGCCGGGCTTGGGCGGGGCGGGTCGCACAGGATCAACAGGGTG